TTGCATGGCTGTGTGCTCGATTGTATATACCTGTCAACAACGGGAGTGGCTGAAATAGCCGAGTCCACTAATTTGAAGGGGTGTCCACATACTTTTGTATATATAGTGTACATAGGCACTTAGCCTTTTGCACAGGAGGAAGTCTACCGAGAATGAGGTGAAAACTGCATTTGTACAACATTACATTAGGTTATTTGTCAACTTAAATTAGAATATGTATTTACTGGAAATTATATCCAAAGACATAGTATATCAGTAGTTTAAAAATCTGAAAACGAGCACATACGGAATGTTGCTGATATAATATTGTGGGTGTTGATTTATGCCTTTCATGTGGACAGGGTGAGAGGGTACAGAAAGTGGAAGGGTACACATTTTACCTTCGTCGGATGCCAACAAAGAAAACAAAACCCCTCCATTCATTCAACAAGCCTAAAATATCCTGTATTTAATTTCAATTAAATGCAATTACGACCCAAGGAAAACAGGGTTCGGTTCAAATCAGCTTCAGAACCCTGAATAAGACAAGCTTTCCCTTCAGCCCTCTGCAAAACTGCCTTTTAGGAACTGAAGAGGGGCTTGTCTGACTGGGTTTACAACGATCACCTCTAATTCTGGTGTGTGTGAGTGAGTGAGTGAGTGAGTGAGTGAGTGAGTGAGTGAGTGAGTGAGTGAGTGAGTGAGTGAGTGAGTGAGAAGGGGGGAAGAGTGTCCACAGTTCATAAAGGCAGCCTTATATGGTCTGACCTCTTTCTGAACTTGTCAGAATGGACACTGTCACAACCCATGCATGACTGTAGAGCAACCTAAATGAGAGTGGTTTCACACCACCACAGGCTAATGTAATGGATGCAAATATATTCACAACTGACTAAAAACTCTCCACCCACAAAATACCCAAATCCAAAGCCTTTCAAGTTCCAAAGACGAGAGTACAAAGCCTAGTGTTCCGTCTTGATCACTCAAAGACAAGCGCTTCAGATACTTTAGAGGAAATGTTAATGGTTAGACTTCCCAAATCTCTAACTAATCCCCAAAATCCTACCTCGACAACACTCCTCCTCTGTTCATTACTCCGACTATTCTCACCAAACAGAAAGTATTCATCAACCCAAAGGAATTACTCTAACCCATTATTTGGTATAAAATACAGTAAATTAACAGAAAGTCCAAATATTGCACTTTCCATACAATGTAAATGGATAGATTCAGTGCACTCCACTGCATTTTAGATGCTGATTGAATCCCGTCATTTTTTATTAAAGACTATCCTGTAAACATAGATTACTCAACAGCATTCATGGATTATAAATAAATGTGGTTTCTCACCCTCTAGCATAAATACATCTTAAAATAGAATAACTTTGCAATTGACAGACTTTTGAAAGTCAGGCTAAAGTGAATTTGGATGTCCTGATTCAAATATAAGCCTGCACTCCTCCTTTTAAAGTCAATAGGACAGGCTCACAGGGGGGATGACAACTAAAATGACAGGCAGAATATATCCCTGAAATGTAACTGAGTAACTGTTACTGAACAGTAAGAGAGTGAGAAAAAAGGGTTGACGTTTTTTGTAGCTCCAAGCCTGAGACATGTGGACCATACCAACAGCATAGCACTGAACCCCGGCCTTCTGTCCTCACAGATAGGCCCATACCTGTGCATGAGCTGAGCAGGATTGTGAACAGATCTGCATTGTCTCTGTCTTGCATCTGTGTATGATACCGCGACGCAACAGAAAATATACATCAATATTGAATTTGCGAGTGCTGGAAGTCTATTGTTGAAAGGTGAAAATGTAACTGGCAACACCCATTCCACATTTAGCCAGAAGTTTTCAGAGCACATTTTACAAAGCATCAACTACATTTAAATGATCTCATCCTAGTTAGTGTTGTTGAGAATCTAACCGACAGAGAGGAGAGTGGCTCTCCACAACATCTTCCCACCCTACTTCAAATGCCTGATTACATTATAAAACGGGTTGTCTCCAACCTGCACCAATGACTATAGACCTAGACATTATAAAATGAGCGGCTCTAGCCTTTTAGACAAGACTTCATTGACTTAACTCCTTTAGCAGTAAAAACATAATGGTTTCCCTTCCAATCATAATATAGAGTAATTGGAATGGCTCTGGGTCCACTATAATGATGGAGCCATCTCACGATCAGCAACCACTTTAAACAAACACTGGGTGGGAGAGTTTCTCTGCTTAACGTGGTTAAAAGCCAAACACTTTTTTGCCGAAGGTCTCCGACAAAGATCCTTGCTGAGGCACACTCACTAAACACACATGGCACGCTCGCTTCTGGACGACGATGGTAGACGGAAGCCACATTGTCCGCAGAGCACCCAGCAATCATGCCCCACGGTCAGCCTAGCGGAACAGGTGAACATTTAATGTGGCTTCCTCCCTTTTTTCCCCCCACTCCACACAGATCTGAAAACACAGATTAAAGCAATATGGTGGATAACCTACAGGAATGTGCATGCACTTGTCCAGTTCTTTCACACCAGTGTAAATTAAGGAAACACCATGAGGAGAGGAAGGTAGGTAGACACTTCAGACGACTTTTGAGACGCACCCTTCAAGTTCCTCAGCGCTTGGGAAGTGGGTACTGCCAAGGCACACTGCATGGCAAGGAGTGGAGAGAGTAAAAGGGGTCCTAGTGAAAGGCCTAGCCCTGGGCTATAGGATGTGAAGGGCTAAATAACCGTAGACACAGATTCCATTTTACACTGCACATACATCTTACCCAAAAGAACCACCAAGACTCTTTCGGACTGTCAGATTGTAAACAATTAAATAAAACATCCACCAGGCCACCGTCCAATCAAAGCACCACAACTCTTCCCAAAACCCGATATGATGTTAGAAAAAGGCACACATGTAAATTGTAGTCAGCTTAAAGAAATTCCTCGTTTATGGCTTCTGAAACCGTAAGGCTAATTTGGTAGATGAAGTGATAATGCTCAGCCATGGTCAATGCCCAGAGTTGTGTCATTCTTTCCAGTGCTCACATACTGGGAACACTGGATGTAAACCGACAGAGCTGAGTGAAGAGACTCACTGGCCACCATGGCAAACAAGTTCTACCAATAGTTGGATTTAAATTTAATACAAATATATGGATGTGTGTCTGGATTTATGGGAGTTTCTAGAAGTACATTTTCTTGCCCCCAACACTAAATACATCATTAACTTGTCAGAGTACAGGAGAGTATTATGATTGATTAAGAGCCGAATACAATCAGGCATATGATCCAAATATGGTTTTAAGAGTTTGGTTATGAGTGTCAAAACCAGACTGTTTTAATGCATAATGAAACAGCAAATCAATAATTGTAACATTGAATTTGTTGAACAAGAATGCCTAAAAGCTACTCCTAGTGTGGGTGAAGAGTTTGCCAATGGTATCAAGAGATTTAAATAAAAATCTGCCTTGTAAAACCAGCATGTTATTTCAACTGGCTTCCATGAACAAAGTCCTCCAATTCAGGTTTCCCCATGAATACTTTGTATTGATAATTTTTCTGAGAATTCCTTGAATCACTGGGAGAAAATGCTTATTCGGACAAGTAAGACAAGATAACGGTATGTTTTGGAAAGAGGCTTTACTTCTTGAATATATCTCAATAAACAACCGTGGCCCCTGAAAATGTTGTAAGAAGATGAACACAAAAATACATTTTTCATTATGAAGTAATTTCAGTGTCCCAACTGCAGTTGGATTTGGTGTACAGAACAGCTTTGTACATTTGGGTACATTCCCCTTACACCATCACCTGCAACAGAATGAGTCCAAAATGTAGCTCCAGACACCTATCTTTTCACACATGCACACACTTCTGGTACGCAAACAGGGCAGATCCCACCTTGTGATACAGGGAGGATACCTCAGCAGAACTGGAGTGTGCTAAAGCTCTTTGAAGAGCACCCAGAGCATGTAGTTAACATGATTCCCAAATTACCCTCTGAAGCCTTTGATCTTGAGAGAGCGCTGTCACTTGAAGCTGAAAGAGCAAGCAGAGGCCTTTCTGCACTGCAGCCATTTTCTGCTGCGCCGGGCATTTTATGTACAAGTGTCTGGAACATATGCATATTTATGTACCCCCGGAAAAAACATGTTCCGACAAATCACACTCAAGATTCAGTCTGTCATCGGGTTGAGTATAGATAACTGCAATATCTCTTTATGTGAGCTGCCAGTGGATCTCATGTTGCATCTTCCAATTCCACATGAGCTCTCTCTAAGCCCATAGCACACTATCATGGCCATTACGCTTCTTAGCACCATTAACTCGCTTCTCACTAGAAATGATCGCTGTAAATATCCATACCCTAAAAACAAGGTGGATGTCTAATAGTCTACACATTGAGATATAAAATAAAAATTTTGACATTGTGTTTTACAAAATGTACATTAGGGTTTTAGGTTTTGTTTCTGGGTTTCATGTTTTGGTGGGGGTATTTCAGCTTGGGCGCACAGTGAATATCTATCGTGCATGATCAGATACTAAATCAGGATAGAATTCCAATGCAATACAGGGAATGGCATCTGTGCCAAGCACTACAGACCAACACATGGTACTGAAAATCACTGAAAATTATACAAATCAAATTCAAATATATTGCCCTAAAGCCTGTAATAATGGGCATCTAATTTAATTAAAAATAGACAAAAACTGTATACAGCCAGGAACATGGAAATATGACTATACAAATACGACATTAAAAACCGCTAGAGGGTTGAGTTGTCTTAGATGGGCACATTATCTCTTACTAAAACAGAGTGAAAAGGGGCAACTATGTGAACTGGATACCAATAATTAGAAATGTACTGTATGTGGCAAACATCAATCAATGCTTTTGGATTGCACTGTTCATACAGCGCCCTCCTGTGGCTAGCACAGAAATAACTACCACAGAGCGTCAGGGGAAACGGATAGATGCATTTACATGACAAAGGACACACTTAATAACAAACATGTCACCTTCACTTCTTCACAAAGTCTGCAAACATCTTGGAGCACATCTCTTTCTCTTTGTCCAAACAGTCCTTGTAGCGTCTGCAAAAATAACAATAATTTAGTTGAGTCATGTGTCGCTAGGGAAAAAACCCGAATGTCAGAACTATTATCTTACATGGCAAGCTTCCTCAGGAGATTGTTGATATCGATGTCAAAAGCTTTGTTGGCCTGAGCCATCGTGATGTAATCCTGGGCTTTCTCATAGTCAAACAACTCCAAATAGGCCTGAGGAAAACCCTCTGGTTGAAACATCTGTGGGAAGATCTCAATTGCTACACCTCGCGTCCTCTCCTCGTCTCCTTCTCAAAACCCATTGGAGGAGAAGGTCAGAGGGGCGGGACCTCTGGCTTTCTCCTGCAATGGGTTTTGAGAATGAGATGAGGCGAGAGGATGCGAGGAGAATACAATTGAGATCTTTCCTGTGACTGATTCTTTCCACAAGTGAGCTTGCAAAACTCAAATGTGTGAAAATGGGAACATGTACGTTTTAGGATCATTTTGAGACGCTATTAATTACATGCAGTGGTTATCCATTAAACATATGGTCATATGGTCATAGTAAATGCACCACCTGAAATATTTGTTTTCTTACTAAATAAAGATAACATTTGTGTGTGGATCCCCTTTAGCTCACCTCATATCCATAGCACAAACCATGGTGCCAAAAACAATCACATATACTGTAGGCACACACATGAACCCAGCTTATTGACAAGAATATGACTTCCCCCACCCTGAGGGTCTGACCTGACCACAGTGGAAAAGGGCCTTGGTGTTGTTGGGGTTGATTTCCAGGGCCTTGTGGCCGTACTCCATGGCTTTCAGGTGCCTGTCCAGGCGGACCTGGGTCAACGACAGGTTGAGGTAGATGGGCAGCTGCACCGCCACGATGCTCCTCTTCTCGTCCTCGCCCTCCGCCTGGCCAGACACAAGGAGAGGTTATACGTATAAATCAATACAGAAACTCTTTCTATCACATGCACACATACACTTGTATGTGGACACAGTAGTGCGTGTACACACTATTCGCACTCACACACACGACAGTGTGCTTGTCAAATATCACACACACGACAGTGTGCTTATGAAACTCAACACTTATGACAGGGAACCAAAATGTAAGCATCACAATCACCATCATTCCTCTCATTTATTCACATACATGGAAAGTTGAAGTGATGCTTCATCATAAAATAATGCTGAAACTAAAATGAAGGGGTTCATTTGAGGACATAACATTTACGACATAAGACTTGTTTTGCTGACGCTACCTGCTTGTAGCGATCTTTGGCATCCTCGAAGCGACTCTGGTTGAAGCAGTGGTTGCCAAATCTGCGCTCTGTGTCAACCACGTTGAGGAGCATGGACAGAGGAACAGTGTTGTGCTCCACCTGGCGGGAGAGAGGGGTTTGGGAATGGCAGCCAACAAAGTCACAACTAATCCCCAGTAAGCAGAGATGCATGACCAGAAATAGTCACTTCAGTCCACGTAAAATGGCACACCACAACATGTTTTTGCATCTCTATTTAACCCAATAATATATATTAGCTACTTCCACTAGGTAGGTTGACATTATCTGTTACAAAAATTCCCTGGTCCTGGAGGTTATCACCACCAAACTTGACGGAACTCTAACTAGTTTTGATTGAGTTGTGAGATACAGCCCTGACTAAATAAGGCCCCTAGTGTCCTCACCACACTCATTGAGAAGAACTCATCCACTTGGGCTGAGTCGAGGAAGTCGAGGACCTGCACCTCGTAGAGCACAGTGGCTACAGGAGGAATGTGTGGAGGGCAGCCCATCGCTCCATAGGCGTACTCAGGCAGGAAGAGAAAACAAGAGAACTCTCCCTTCCTCATGGTCAGAATACCCAGCTCCAGGCCACACAGTCACGTCTGTAAGGTAAGGTGTATTCATTGTTTATGAAGCCACATATGAAAACCAGTTATCTTAGAGTGCCATAGGCTACATCTTACCTCTTCCAAGCTTCATAATTCAAGGGTACTTCAGATGGCTGGTGGTCTCAAATGGTCGGTCAGAGTACTCCAGAAATCCAGAGAAATGGACTGTGAAGGAATATTAGCAGGGGTTCAAATTGGCACATAAAACACGTGGTGTGTCCCTAAGGTGTAATTGATTGCATTATGTCTGAATAAATATGCAATACATACAGTGAGGGAAAAAAGTATTTGATCCCCTGCTGATTTTGTACGTTTGCCCACTGACAAAGAAATGATCAGTCTATAATTTTAATGGTAGGTTTATTTGAACACTGAGAGACAGAATAACAACAACAAAAATCCAGAAAAATGCATGTGAAAAATGTTATAAATTGATTTGCATTTTAATGAGGGAAATAAGTATTTGACCCCCTCTCAATCAGAAAGATTTCTGGCTCCCAGGTGTCTTTTATACAGGTAACGAGCTGAGATTAGGAGCACACTCTTAAAGGGAGTGCTCCTAATCTCAGTTTGTTACCTGTATAAAAGACACCTGTCCACAGAAGCAATCAATCAATCAGATTCCAAACTCTCCACCATGGCCAAGACCAAAGAGCTCTCCAAGGATGTCAGGGACAAGATTATAGACCTACACAAGGCTGGAATGGGCTACAAGACCACCGCCAAGCAGCTTGGTGAGAAGGTGACAACAGTTGGTGCGATTATTCGCAAATGGAAGAAACACAAAAGAACTGTCAATCTCCCTCGGCCTGGGGCTCCATGCAAGATCTCACCTCGTGGAGTTGCAATGATCATGAGAACGGTGAGGAATCAGCCCAGAACTACACGGGAGGATCTTGTCAATGATCTCAAGGCAGCTGGGACCATAGTCACCAAGAAAACAATTGGTAACACACTACGCCGTGAAGGACTGAAATCCTGCAGCGCCCGCAAGGTCCCCCTGCTCAAGAAAGAACATATACAGGGCCATCTGAAGTTTGCCAATGAACATCTGAATGATTCAGAGGAGAACTGGGTAAAAGTGTTGTGGTCAGATGAGACCAAAATCGAGCTCTTTGGCATCAACTCAACTCGCCGTGTTTGGAGGAGGAGGAATGCTGCCTATGACCCCAAGAACACCATCCCCACCGTCAAACATGGAGGTGGAAACATTATGCTTTGGGGGTGTTTTTCTGCTAAGGGGACAGGACAACTTCACCGCATCAAAGGGACGATCGACGGGGCCATGTACCGTTAAATCTTGGGTGAGAACCTCCTTCCCTCAGCCAGGGCATTGAAAATGGGTTGTGGATGGGTATTCCAGCATGACAATGACCCAAAACACACGGCCAAGGCAACAAAGGAGTGGCTCAAGAAGAAGCACATTAAGGTCCTGGAGTGGCCTAGCCAGTCTCCAGACCTTGATCCCATAGAAAATCTGTGGAGGGAGCTGAAGGTTCGAGTTGCCAAACGTCAGCCTTGAAACCTTAATGACTTGGAGAAGATCTGCAAAGAGGAGTGGGACAAAATCCCTCCTGAGATGTATGCAAACCTGGTGGCCAACTACAAGAAACGTCTGACCTCTGTCATTGCCAACAAGGGTTTTGCCACCAAGTACTAAGTGATGTTTTGTAGAGGGGTCAAATACTTATTTCCCTCATTAAAATGCAAATCAATTTATAACATTTCTGACATGCGTTTTTCTGGATTTTTGTGTTGTTATTCTGTCTCTCACTGTTCAAATAAACCTACCATTAACATTATAGACTGATCATGTCTTTGTCAGTGGGCAAACATACAAAATCAGCAGGGGATCAAATACTTTTTTCCCTCACTGTATGCTTTAGGCTACATTGTAAGGCAGAGGTCTCCAACCTTTTCTAGCATGAGGGCTTCTTTGAAAAAATTTAACATGTTATGAGCTACAATAAAATGTCTAACTTTCAATTAGGCACATTCTTCTTCTCTTCTCATCTCCCCTGCAACTCTTCCCTGGGTCAGTAGTGAACAAGAGAAAGTAGTGCACTATGTTTTCTGTTTTATATTTTCCCAAATTATGTTCTCTCAGTTTTATCTTTCCAGGTTTTAGATACTTTTGTTAAACTCTCAAAATTACAATTGTTCATGGAGAAACAACGAAATTGGAAGTTCTGAGTCCATGTCATGGGGAACACTGGATTAGATCGTAGCTGGGAGCTTGCAGTGTCTGATACTGGTCAAATTGCATGTACTTTCAGAATTGTTTGGCGAGCTACTCATAGGTGGGCTGCGGGCTACTGGTAGCTTACGATTGACCTGTTGGAGACCCCTGTCGTAAGGGAACCTAAAGAATGCAGTATTCTATGAAGGTGCTTGACACAAATGTATCTCTTCGCACTGGTGGGCCTTCTCCAGGTTGGACCACTTCCTTCAGGATCTCTCCATCGCCCAAGATGTCCTGCATCTGCTGGCCCAGGTGGTGGAAAGGGCTCTGACAACAATAGACAAAAGTTTTAAAGTTAACACCATCACTGACCTTTAGTTAATTGTTTTCAACCCTTAAAATTGTTTAACAAAGGGCACAGAGAAACCAAGTAGTCAAAACACAGTTTTATATTTTAGATAGCTAGTTAGTTGAAAATAAATTCTGCAAGGTGGCACATTGAGCAAAAATAATTTTGCATGACAGCGATCAAGCTCGTAAGGCTGCAGCAGCACAGTATCTTTGGCTAGTCTTTGCTAGTTAGCTAGCTAGCGAGCAAACTATGCACACAGATTTGTATACATTTATGTTATGCAACTTAAAGTGTAACCAATTAGCAATAGATTGGTGTATGAAACCTCCCTATTAATATGAAGGTGTGAAGTTTAGCAAATAAGTGTTAAAATGTTGACATCACATGATGTAGCTAACGTTAACTCGCTGGAGATAATTAGCGCTAGCCAGAGCCATATATTTAGATACAAATAAAGAAACTCAGCAAAAAAAGAAACGTCCTCTCACTGTCAACTGCTTTTTATTTATTTTCAGCAAACTTAACATGTGTACATATTTGTATGAACATAACAAGATTCAACAACAGACATAAACTGAACAAGTTCCACAGACATGTGACTAACAGAAATTGAATAATGTGTCCCTGAACAAAGGGGGGGGGTCAAAAGTAACAGTCAGTATCTGGTGTGGCCACCAGCTGCATTAAGTACTGCAGTGCATCTCCTCCTCATGGAATGCACCATATTTGCCAGTTCTTGCTGTGAGATGTTACCCCACTCTTCCACCAAGGCACCTGCAAGTTCCCAGACATTTCTGCGGGGAATGGCCCTAGCCCTCACCCTCCGATCCAACAGGTCCCAGACGTGCTCAATGGGATTGAGATCCGGGCTCTTCGCTGGCCATGGCAGATCACTGACAGGAAATCACGCACAGAATGAGCAGTATGGCTGGTGGCATTGTCATGCTGGAGGGTCATGTCAGGATGAGCCTGCAGGAAGGGTACCACATGAGGGAGGAGGATGTCTTCCCTGTAACGCACAGCGTTGAGATTGCCTTTAATACAGTGGCCGGGAAGTGCAAAGCAACATTACAAAGAATGAAACACTTTTACAAAGCTCGAGACAAATTTACATTTTGGAAAACAAATTTACATTTTGGAAAACAAATTTACATTTTGGAAAACAAATTTACATTTTAGAAAACAAATTTACATTTTAGAAAACAAATTAACAAGACGCAAAACACTTTTACCAGTCCCGAAACAAATTTACAAACGACAGATTCGTCACGGAAAGGGAATGTACCATATACCGGAAGTGACGAGCGTGGTCTTTTCGTGTTTTTGTTGTGGAGTTTATGGCGTCAAAGAAGTTTATGGTGACCGCCCGAACATGGACTGCGGCCGAGGGATGTTTTGCCCGTTTTGTGGCAAACACATGAACAGCTTAACGCGGTTTTGCTTTACGTGTGGTCGGTGTTTGGAGTTTTTAAAGGACGCGGACAAGACGGAAACATTGGAAACACAGGGGACGTCTCGACAGCCGGACAGTGCTATGCAAAGTAAGTTTAGCAAAACCAAAACGCTAGCTATCTAAGGACAGTAACGCTAATGATTTTTTGAGCGGCTTCTAACTTTCTGTTTCGGAACTCTGTCCATTTCTGCAGAACAACCATGCCCATCATACAAACAGTTCATGGAGTACAGAAGCTCGAAATCAAAAGAACGACAGTCTTTTAACTATGGGCCAAAAGGAAGATATAGGCCTAAAGAAAGAAAACACGTCCAGGTAAGGTGTACTGACCGTCCTATACAATTTTGCAATGCTCTATATGTATTTGTGTGTATTTATTTTACCTATGTATACATTAATTATATCTTTGTTATTTTACTAGATAAACGTAGGATTGATGGTGCCAAGTGGAACTGATTTAAAACCTCTAAGAGGGAAAACACTACAGTTATTTACAGACCCAGAGGTAGCAGCACCTGATCTACTGAAACAAGCTGTCCAGAAAATGACAACATTTAACAAGGACATGCACGAAGGACCTTATGTCCTTTTGTATCCAGACTGCTCAGAGGTGGTTCATGTGCCTGGGTCAGAAAGGCCATTCAAATTGGCAGAATATAAAAAGGAAATAGGAAAGGCATATTCCAGGATCACTTTTTTCATTTGCCTAGAAAAACACTATAAAAGAGGTTAGTGGATCTCATGATTCAATATTTTTACATATTTAGATACTCTGCTGGAGGATAGATAATGGTTGTTTGAATTATTTTTTTCAGTGGATGATACCTCAGACTCTGATTCTGAAATTGTCATCACAACAAGGAGCACAGCTGAACTCAATCGTGCTGACACTTTGGTACATCAGTTATTTCTCTTTTTTAAAATGTTTATGTATGTTTGTATTTATTCATTTTCATATAATTTATTAATTAGATGTACATTGGATTTTAAGCATAAAATCAATGTCCTGGTCAATATTTTAGTGGAAAAAGGCTTGTTTTGATTATTTTGCAGTAACTATTATACAGTAACACAGACAACCATTCAGCATTGATATATACTGTATGTGGTAATGGAAAAATAATGGAACCTGTTGAAAGTTGTTGATCATTTTATCCGTTTCCTCTCAGGTTTTTGAACCACAAAATCGAAGTACTCCCAAACACAAGCTGGACGATGAAAGGTAGGTGTTGCACACTTGGACACAAAGGAATTTTCACACGTGCAATAATAATTCATATTTTGTTGGGCTACAGTGCTTTCACTACCAGGTAAAGTGCAATTTCACCTTTTTTTTTTATTTAACTCACAAAACTGATAAAACTACTAGCAGATATTTCACTACTTATTCACATACACATTATACATACATTTATATTGCTGCACATAAGCTCAACGTTGCTACATGCTATCAGCTGTTTCTGTAACTGACTGCGGTGCCCCCTCGCTCCCTACCTAAAGGACCCACAGCTGCCTGTGTGAGCAGAGCTTTACAGAATAAACCCACTGAAATACAGTTGCTCTTGCAGTTGAATAAACAAAAATTAACCAAACCATTAAAAAAAACACGTGAGAATGAAGTGGGGGGTATCCACTGTCCATTCATATGTCCCACATCACTGTCGATCCTGCATAGGTACTATAGGCCTTTACTGAAGTGGCACGGTCATCCAGAACCAACTTAAAGAACTCCAACACGTTTCGGCATCTAGCCTTTGTCAGGGAGTCAAATAGATGTAATGAGAGACACTGGGTTTTTTCTAGTGGTAATCCACCAATAGGAAACATGGGACACATCCATATACATAATGTTTACATGATTTGACTATTGTAGGCCTGAAGGACACCTACTGGTTTTAAGATGTCTACAACACCTACTCTAGCCCAGAACACCTTGGACACTAGAAAAGACCCATTGTCTCTCATTTCATCTGTTTGACTCGCTGACGAAGGCTAGATGCAAAAACGCATTAAAGTTCTTTTAAATTGGTTCTGTATGGCTTGGCCACTTGCAATACAAGCATTTTAATAGTTAAAAAATAGTAGTTTGAGCTTTCTTTTATTTTATACCTTTTCCATTAAAAAAGAAACTCAAACTAACTCAGATTTGAGTCCAGGAAACGCTCCTATCCACATGTTCTCAAAATAATCTTTTTTTTTAATACATCTTTCTGTTCCCTCTACTACTACATGCTACTCAAAGCTACATTATAGCCTTTATCATGGAGCTAATCATTTTAATATGTTTTATCATGTTTCAGAGATGCACCAGGACAATCAACAATTCAGCCTGGACAGGTAATAAGGCAGAGTGTGGCAGCATGACATTTCTTGCTTTCAGTGTTGTTGTTTCAGACATTTTAATCTTTTTTTCAGATAGTAATATCTGATGCTGAGGATCTGGATCCACCGGAAGCAAATCCAGAAAAAATTTCTTGCTACAGGTAAGTAAAAAAAAAAGAAAAGATAATGACTGACATAATTTAAATGTATTGAACTGATTACATGGGGAAGACATTTTTGTTTGTAAGATGTTTTAACATGGAAATGGCAATTTCCCAACAGTAAATACACAGACCTGTATTCACCAAATGTTGAGCAGGAGGACGAAGAGCCGGTTGCTGTCAATGTGAAGAATTTCCAACACACAGCAATGTAATATGCTTTTGACTATAGCACTCCAGTTTTTTCACTGTACAATAGTTCTTGTATATCTGGAATATCCACAAATGAATTAACTTTTTGTCATTACAGGGAGGAGACGGACATTGCATTACCTGACATCGTAGCAAACCTGTCTCTTCCTATTGATCATAAAAAAGTCAGCCGGTTTAACATCTCAAGGGATAATGTTTGGGATGGGGCAGTCAGAGGTTTCAAGCGTACAACATATTCTGAAACCTGTGACATGCTGGTGAAATTTACTGATGATACTGGTGTTCTGGAAGAGGGAATTGACACTGGTGGTCCAAGACGAGAGTTTTTAACTCTACTGATGAAACACCTAAAAGACCGGCCCATTTTTGATGGACCAGAAGGACATCGGTTCTTGGTCTACAATGCAAAGGGTATGCATATTGGTTGGATGTGTACTATAGGCTACTAATGGTTGGTTAATGCTCATTGACCAGATATATCACATGACATATGCTTGCATATTACAGTATATACAGTAATGCATTGTTTTAATTTTGCAATATGAATTCATTCACAGCTGTTAGGGAGGATGAATACTACTTGGCAGGAAAGATGATTGCTGTGTCAGTTGTGCATGGAGGTCCAGGACCCCATTTCCTGTCAGAAGATCTTGTACATTATCTTGCAGGCCAGCCTTCATTCAAAGCAACAAATAATTTAATAACTGATGAAGAAATAGGGAAAGCTTTGCAAGAGGTGAGAATAGCATAAGGGTATGGTAGGGCAGAGTTTTTCATACTTACTGCAGTGTTTTTGAGACAATGTTTACTTCCTATATCACGTGCG